AAAAGGATTCTGATATCTATGACTGACTCAACAAGACATATTTTCATTGATATGAATAACGATTTGCTGATATATAGACTAATATTACAGGAAAACAGAGGAAACAAGATGGTGATCACCAATCACAGTATCCCTTTTATCTGCTCCATGTGGAAAGTTGCAGCTAATGGCGGCGCCACAGGGGGCATTGGGGGGGGGGGCTGGAGGGATACATCCTTCCCAGCTCTCGGCAAGATCTATTTAGCATTTCGTTTAAATTCGATGAGAAAATCTTTGGAGTGAGGTAATATTTTGGTAAAGTATCCTTTGTGATGTAAGTCCAACATATTGAAACTGCCTTTATGTAACCAAAGCTCAAAATGGGCGCTCCCTGTTGGCAAAAGGGCGATTTCTCACAGTTAAAAATGCGTGGCCAAAATTTATATTGTACATCCTTTTGACCACTGGGTCCAGTTTGTAATAGAAGCAGGAGTCAAAGGCCTAAGGGTGCATTAAAGAGAAGGCAAAGATACAAAGGGGGAAGTGGTTGGGACAGAAGTACATCGTTTCTGCACCTAAATCATAAAAGTCTCCCGTGCGCATGATAGAGAGCTTTCAATTGTTTGGATAAGGATCGAAACGATTGAGAGCAATAAAGGTATTTGCCGGAATAAGTGGGGAAAAATGCAGCCTGCGTATATTATTATATTCCTAAACATCCCTGTGATCTGTTATTACAATTTTTTACAATTACTATTCTGACGAAAAAGAAGATTTTCTGTGCATTATTCAAAGTTAAAGAATTTCTTGAAAGATTCTATTATGAGTTAAGTTCAGAATTGGATTCTTCGGGTGTCTTTTCTGTGGCTGTTGAAGGAGTTTCCTTGCTTTCAACTTCGTTCCGCTTTATTTCCTCGCTTCCATCCTCGTTTTTATCATTCGTTAACTGTTCCGCGTTATTGGCGTTTGATTTGTCAGCCAATGCATTTCTGGTCTGTATTTCAACCTCATCCCTGTTCACGTATTTCTTAGCAAAGGACCCATCCCTATAAATTTTAGGATCTTGCTTCTTCATATTCACATAGCTTGCTAGATCTTCGTGTCTCCCCAACGGTACAACGAAGACAGAAATATCGTCATACGAGGCTGCCTCGTTGTTTCTAGTTCTCCATCCACGTTCACTTAAAGTGCCCCGAGCCTCGTCTACAAGGGCCTGTGCAGCAACAATGTACCTTGAGGTAGGAAAATTTCTGTTATCATCAGATGTGTGAGATACAACGGGAATGTCTTCTTTCATATAGTTCCAAATCTGAAGGGGTACTACACAACCATATCGGAAAAATCCCAGAATGAAACCTTTTCTATAAACACCAACATTTGAAGAATAATTGCATCATCAAGTTGATGTTGAGTTTCCACATCATTGTTTCATATGAAAGAGTATCCCAGTAGTTTCCTAGAGCTCGTCTCCATTATGGGTGGACTTGTTGTGTAGGATTATCGGCCATCAAGCCACGATGACACGATACTTACATGGCACAATCAACAGGGAAAGAAAGATTTTACACTTCGAAGCCTTAAGGTTTTTTTAATAGTTTTCAACCTTATTTTCCAGCTCAAAAAGTTGACATTGTCAAATAAGAGGTGAGAGGGCAAAGATCCCATGGTACTTCCTCAACTGGCAGCAAACATGAATTGATTAACTTCCCAAGGCATGGAACGTACCTTATATCTGAAACATATACTAATCAAAGGTAAAGTGAATATACTAGCCAGTGAGGCGTGTATCCACCCTTGATTCTTGGTTATCGAAACCTTTCAAAATGATAACAATGTACAAATACAATGCGAATAAGCATCCTAGAACTTAATAACAACAAATCATACCTTCTAGGCTCAGTAAGCGGCTGTTGCTCAAATTTCTCTTTCAAGATTTTGATTACCTGAAAAAAACACTTAAAATGCTTCACTGAATTCGACTAAAACCGGATTCGCTAAACCAATTTGTTTCTGAAGTAAGAGCAATAATTCTGCGAAAATTGATGGAACAAATTCGAACACAAAAGATTTCACAGATTTTAAAAGTTATCCCCCTCCCTCCATTACATTGATGTTTGTTATCAATGGTGCATGGTTGTCAGTGAAAATCTAACTTGTACTGGAAACGTACATACTTCTTAAGAAATAGACAAAGACACTTCTTATGAAGGAATCAGCATTTTAGGGAGAGGGGGGAAGAATTTAGCGACAGCGTTGAAAATTTATGGAGGTAGTTGAATCATGGGGTTCTCAAGTTTTGTACGCGAATATCGTCCTGTTGCAACTATTTTTGGCAATACGTAAACACGGAAAAACTCTTCTAACTTAACAAAGGGTTTGCAAGAAGGAAGTTTGAAAGTCTGGGACAACAGAGACAATGGTTCTATAAAGGAGCATTGGTAGAAAAAACGAAAAGAATTAACAAAAAAGAGAGGAAAAAAGGAATTGAACTAGTTCGAAGTTCTGTGCTGTACAAAAGTTCTTGAAAAGCTCAGCCCCCTTTGTCAAAATTAGGAGAGATTTTCAGGGAAGGGGGCTCGTTCCCCCCTTTAACAGCCTGGATATGTCTGGTTGGCGAATTCTTGAACCCTTTTTTATGCTATCATTTTTCTGACAATCAACAACTTCCTATCAATCATTTTGAGCCCGTTAAAAGCTTGAATATTATTAAATATGTCCAAGTATATAGGGTGTGGTCACGGTTGTTGTCATGATTGTGGTCTTGGGTGTGGCTTCCATAAGTTCACTACATTACAGTCCTCCTTACTAACTTTTTAGGACAGCCCCCCTGCCTTTCACAAAGCAAGTCTCAATACCAACCTCTTCGCTGTTAAATCTTTCCCATAATCCATCGGACGCCATAACCAATACGTCATTTCCGCTAAAATTGTTTCCCTTCAAATCATAAACTTTCACCTGTTGGGATACAAAGTCACTGTCACAAACTTATTACATATGTCTCGAATATTAAGATTGAAAAACATTTTTCCCCTTCGGTTTTATCTTTCCAAATCCCTCGCCAATTCAAATATTGCTATTGGCAGTTTCAAATCAACAAAAAAGAAAACAAAATTCACGGCTACGGTGAACCACATGCTTGGTTACTAAAACGTGGACTATCAAATAGTTTCAGTCTATAGGCGGGGTCGAAAATCCAGACCAGCTGCGGATGTCTGTCACAAGAATAAAACTACGGAGATAACTTCTGATAGTAATTTTACAGCTTACTCATTTCACCACAAGATGATTGCTAAAAGAAAGTTATTTAAAATAAAAAAATAGGAGTTGACAAATTTTGGAATTCTCAAATGTCATTGCTGACCAAATCAAGTAAATATAAGCGAAATAAGAATCAGCTTGGTGTGTAGCAATTCCTTAAAAGCCAACGGGATAAAGCCACGAAATACATTCACGTCTGAAAATTTTCACCAAATTTCACAAATCATTCTACAAACCACATCGACAGTTACCTCTGGATTTGCCGTCATAAATGGCTTGATCTTCAACCCAGCACAATACGGAAACTCAATATCATGGTCTCCAAACCCCCGTGTCACGCTTATTGTATCGAGTAATTTTGCCCTCTTTCCTTCTCCGCTCACAAGCTGTGGCTTTATGTCACTCCTGTCCACGACTTTCAACCCCCTGAAAAAATTCAGTATTTATATATGACAAAGTTTGCATGCACAAAAATGCTCGACTGACTAATGAACAAACTTCTTGTGCCAGGGGCATGCTAGGCATGATAAGATAGACTTAACCAATGAGGATCAGTGATGTGATTTTGCACGTGATCACTTACTGATCCTTTGTGTTATTGTCCTGTGACGGCTCAAACAAAAAATAAAGAGCACATAATAATTGATTAACAACTCAAAGCATGGAATAAACAAAGAAAAAGCAGCATTTTTGGCAAAATATTATTTACAATCAGCAGCTGCTGTATCAGGTCTTAACACCTGATGTATTTTTAAACAAGTTAGTCTTGTTTCCTTAAGGGCTGACAAATTTCAAACATAATTTTCTTTCAAATAAGGTTTAATTTTGAATCAGTAAAAAATTGCCAGTAAGAAAACAATGCTGTGCGTTCTACTGTTTCGTTGCCAAAGTTTTTCAGTCGGTTATCTTAGGGAAAGGTCTATAGCAACGCCCTAGCAAGGGAAAAGAGGGAGGGAATTAGAAGAGAGGGAGGTAAGACAAAGTTGGTTTATTTTGACTTTGAAGAAAGAAAGGTTAATCAAAAATAAAGAACAAAAAGGACTACATCAATAAAATGGAGGTAATTCTCCACGACAAAGAAAAATTTGCTAAATTGGGTGATGTCGAAACACATGACAAAACGGCCAAACTAGAGCGGAAACTCCAAAAACGTTTGTTGGAACTGGTCAACTCAAAAATGTTGGCTACAGAAATTTATGATAGGATAAGACCCACGGGCTCTCAACGACCACAAATGTATGGCCTCCCTAAAATACACAAGCCGAACGTCCCACTTAGACCTATCTTGTCTATGATTGGCTCAGCACAACACGAACTGGCTAAGTGGCTTTCTGAAGTTTTGGACCCTGTTCTTCAAAAATATTCAAAACATTGCATCAAGGATTCTTTTACGTTCGCTGAGTTCATGCAAAACTTGAACATCGAAAACGAAACATCTTTCATGTGTTCTTTTGACATTAGTAGTCTTTTCACAAATGTTCCTTTGAGTGAGACCATCAAAATATGTGCCGACGCTTTGTACCGGAGCGAGCTTAATAGCCCACCATTCCCAGAGGAAGTATTCATTGAACTGATGGAAACTGCAACACGTTCAGTTGAATTCGGTTTTAACAATGAAATGTACCAACAAAAGGATGGTGTCGCTATGGGTAGCCCTCTGGGACCTGCCTTGGCCAATATCTTTGTTGGCTTTCATGAAGAGCGTTTGTTCGACTACGACCAAAAGCCAGGTGTCTATTTTCGGTATGTGGATGACACATATACCATTTTCAAAACAGAGGCTGAGTGTGATATTTTTCTAAAACACCTAAATAGCCTACACCCAGCCCTCCAGTTTACGTTTGAAAAGGAAGAAAATGATTCCTTACCATTTTTAGATGTTTTGTTCGAAAAGTCTAACACTGGATTTCTTACCAGTGTATATCGCAAGCCTACTTTTACCGGTCAGTACATACGCTGGAATTCATTTTGCCCAAAACAACGCAAAGTCAACCTTGTCAAAACATTAGTACATAGGGCACTTATGATCTGCTCGAAATCTAAACTGCACACTGAACTGGAAAAACTCAAAACGATCTTCTTGGACAACGGCTATCCTGAAGACGTCATTTTATCTTATACTAAGGAGAAGATCGCAAGTTTTTCGGCTGTTCAAAAGTTTGGTCCGCAAAAGTGCCCAGTTTATTTGAAACTACCATGGATTGGTAACACTTCCTTGCGATTCGAGAATCAGATTAGGCAAGCCATAACCAATTGTTTCTTTGCTGTCAATCCTCGGATTGTTTACAGCACTAGGAGAGCCCTTCCATCCATTCAAAAGGATTGCGTCCCTACCAAACAAAAAAGTTCCGTCATTTATGAATTTACGTGCCAGTGTGATTCTGGCTACGTAGGGCGCACAACCCAAAGATTGGGGGATAGGATAAAACAGCATGTTCCTTCCAACATACGTAACAAAACTGCCCCTCAAAGAGAACAGCCTCCTCGATCTTGTAGGTCTAGAAACACTGTTAAAACAAGTGATTCTGCCATTGGTCAACATCTTTTAGACAACCCAGATTGTGCAAAACTCTATAATGACGACATGTTTCGGATAATTGGCAGAGCCCGGTCGTCCTTCCATCTAGCAGTTTTGGATTCAATCTACATAAAAACGAAAAAGCCGCCATTGTGTAGACAAAAGGAGTTCGTTTTCTCTCTTGGACTCCATTGGTAATTTTTCTTTAGGCTCGCGGCACTGATTGGTCAACTATACCGGTCTTGTGCTTGCGTTTTTCTGATTGGCCTATTTTGATCCACAACTGGGTATATATTTTTCCATCGTGTTTTTCGGAACCTATTCTGACGTTTTATGCTCTGAGGAGTGTCAGACGAAAAAGCTTTAAGTATGTTGTAAAATGTTTGCTTTTTTCAAAGCCATTTTCAAATTCTGTACCACAAAAAAATTGTTCATATTCTTTCTTTCAAAAAACTGGCATATCTTTTGTAAGCAATAATGTAAGGCTTAAACATCAATACATTAAAATTTTTTCGATAGCGCCATCCCTGGCAAAAACAAATTCTCCAAACATTTTTAATACTGCCAAAAGGTTTAGGAGTACCGATAATTGGGATGTAGCGGTTGAAGCAAAATGGTCGAGCAGGGATTTCCATAAAAATACCAATATTGCTTTTTGATGAAAATTACTAAATTTCAATTTTTATGCGAGCTGAGGATTGCAAAAACATATATTTAAAATAGAAGCAAAACTAAAAAACTTCAAATACTAAAGGCAACTTGTGTCGTAACTTAAATCGAATCGGGCTAATTAATCCAACCTCTGTTATTAATATTTTTTTCACGATGATCGTCGATGGTGTTTTGCATTTAGACATCCCTTCCTCTCGTTATATGCCTCATGTAGAAACGCATAACACTGAAATTCTTTATGCGTTTCTGTATGGGCCTAAGGCAAACTACAAAAAGGATAAAAATTCAAAAATGCTACTTGCATGGAAAAGCTTGACGTAGATCAGCTTGTTACAATCATTTGCTGTTAGTTAGCATGCTTTTGCGCTAAAAATTCGATGTCGTTTTGATTTTAGATGCCCCATGCAGAAACGCATAGCACTAAAATTCTCTATGCATTTCTGCATGGGCCCAAGGCAAACTACAAAAAATGATAAAAATTAAGAAGTGCTACTTGCATGGAAAAGCTTGACCTAGATCATATTCTCACAATCACTTCTTGTTAGTTAGCATGCTTTTGAGATGAAATTCAATGTCGTTTTGATTTTAGATGCCCCATGCAGAAACGCATGACATTGAAATTCTCTATGCGTTTCTGCATGGTCCTAAGGCAAACTACAAAAAGGATAAAAATTCAAAAATGCTACTTGCATGGAAAAGCTTGACGTAGATCAGCTTGTTACAATTATTTATTATAAGTTAGCATGCTTTTGCGATGAAATTCGATGTCGTTTTTATTTTAGATGCCCCATGCAGAAACGCATAACACTAAAATTCTCTATGCATTTCTGCATGGGCCTAAGGCAAACTACAAAAAGGATAAAAATTCAAAAATGCTACTTGCACGGAAAAGCTTGACGTAGATCAGCTTGTTACAATCATTTGTTGTTAGTTAGCATGATTTTGCGCTATAAATTCAATGTCGTTTTGATTTTAGATGCCCCATGCAGAAACGCATAGCACTAAAATTCTCTATGCATTTCTGCATGGGCTAAGCGGATGGTAGTTGCTCATCTTATCAATAGCTTGATTGTTATTTCGTCTTTTGAGTTTATCGCGTCACGATGTTGTTGTGTCC